TGCCAAACCCACGCCAGACCTGCCGTCCCTCTCGTGGGGACCCTCTTCTGCCCTCTTCTCCTGGAGGGCAGAGAACAACCCGAGGCAGGATCAGGACAGAGGGAAGCAAGAGGGAAAAGCAGCATGTCCCCACTGCTTGCTCCCTGCTAGTGGGGTGGCCCAAGCAGACCCCCCATAGCTAACATGGGGGCAGCCCCCAGGTCACTCCAGCTGCTTTTCCCTGCCATGAGGAGGATGCCAAGAGCTTCTCTGGGACATTGGCTCTGTTTTTATCTGAGAAATGCCTCCTGCTTGGACAGGGACCCAAGAACATCTCCCCCTCCCCAAGTACAAGGTTGTGTTTCAGGGACACGCAGCTGCAGGGCGTTATCTCCCTCAAGTACCGATGATCCCTGCTTCCCAGCCTCTCCTGGCCCATCTGCAGGCTGGAAGGACCACCGAGGGGAGGAGGAGAGAGACTTCCAGCAGATAGAGGTGCTTTGCGCTGCGGGGTCAGGGCTGGCAGCCAGGGCCAAGCTCACATCAGCAGCTGGGAGGTGCTGGGAGAGCGACAGGGAGGAAGGAGCTGCAGGGATGGGCCATCACCTCCCTGGGGCAGGCTCTCCCCAGCCACCTCCTGGAGGAAGGATGTCTTCCCTTGGGAGACATCAAGCAGGTCCAGCCATCAGCCTCGGCAGCCCCCATGGACAAGTTGGGGGTGCAAGGGGCTCTCACACCTGGCAGTTAGAGCAGACCCCTGCTTTGGAGGGCTCCAACCTGCGCTGGGTGCAGTTGCCCAAACTCAGGCACCAGGCACCACCCTTAGTGCCCCATGGGCAGTCCTGCCTGGCCCAGAAGGACTCAGGTCTCTTGGCAGCATGCCATAGCCCCTCTGATACCCCAGGGCAACTCTGATGGTACGGGACACCCATGTCCCCATCCCTGAACCCAGCCATGGAGCTGCCTGCTACCAGTCTTCACCTGCTTGTGACAGCAGCCCTGCGGTGTGGCAGCGTTGGCCCCGCCGTCTCGGATCAGGAACTCCTCCGCAAACCTAGAGCTCTGCAAGATCGCGGCCATCTCAGCATCCACATCCACCACCTCTCCTTCCTGGGGACAGAGGGACGGTTGCAGGGCTGGGGTCTGGGATACATGACCCAGGGGACCCCAACCACCCAGTCAGACAATGGATGGGGGGCAAAAACAGGGGCACAGTCTGACCCAAAACCTTGAGAAAGACCCACAACGACCAAGCAGCTGGTTCCAAAACTCTTGTGAAGCCACCACGGATGTCCTGCTCCCACCTCCACTCCAATGGAATGCATGGGTCTGGCTCCCTTTCCTGTCTCTGTTTGCAGCTCCCCTGGTTTATACAGCCCCTCTGCTCCCACCCACCACCCCCTCTACCAAAGCTTACCCCCAAAATCACAGAGGACACTGCTGAGCAGCACTGCTTCATCAGCTCTGCCCCATCCCCATCCCTACAGACCAGGACTGTTTGGCATCCTGGGGAGTCCCACCCCGCACCTTGAAGGTGAGGTTGGCATCAAACACCAGCTCTCGCTCGTGCCCCACGATCCCACCATTGTAGATGACCTGGCCCGGCCTGGCCCGGCTGCTACCCGGCACCTTGAACAGACGGAAAGTCGCAGAGACGAAGCAGCAGTCGCCTGCAAGGGAGAGGTTGGTGGGTTGGGCACCGAGCGCCCGGGCTGGCAACCGGCAGAGCCCGGGATCCCAGCACAGCTCCCCATGGCTGCCCAGAGCCAACGCTCCCTGGCTGGACGCTCACCGATGATGCCCTCCAGCTCCTTGTTGCTGATGGTGATGGGGCTGGCAGTGACCAGGCATGGGGGGCTGAACCCCACCTCCTCGGCGATGCTGTACAGGTCTTTCCAGTACAGGGCTCCCGCCAGGCACTCCCCTGGCACGAGACCGTAGACACAGGTGATGGAGGCAAAGGTCCGGTCCCCCCATCCCATGCCACCCCCATCCCGGAGCCCTACGCACCCCACAGCACCCTGTGCTTCTGGACAGCCTTGCTCAGGCGCTGGCTGGCATAGATGTCGCTGAAGTACATCTCTCCCCCGGGCTGGAAGGCAGTGAGGAGTGAAGGGAGACCCCGAGAAGCAACAGGACAAAGAGGGCAGGGAGAACTGGGCACCCCCAATGCTACCCTGCTCAGGACCCTCTGCAGAGGTGCCCTCCCCTGGCCCCATCCCACATCCCCGCCTTGCTGGATCCCACTTGCTGCATCCCAGTGGCACCCCAACAGCAGGGCCACCCCAACCCCGCTCCACTCCAACCAGGGGTGCTGGCCCCAGCATTACCTTCAGCACGCGGTAGGCCTCCCGCAGCACGGCCCTCTTGTCAGGGGCAAGGTTGATCACGCAGTTGGAGCTGGGGAGGAGGAGACCAAGGCTCATTTGCACCCTCTCGCATGCTCAGCACCACCAGCTGCTGCACATCCACTGGCTGCTGCATGTCTCATCGCTTCACGCAGGATTTGGAGATGCCGATTTAACCATGAAAAGGGCAGTTTGCATATTCCCCGGCTTTAGCCTGGGCTCTGCCTTGGGATTTTCCCTTTCCTTACATGTGCTCCTGAAGTGGGCAACCCACTGGGATGCAGACCCGGACCCCAGCCCATGGCCCCAGGCAGCAGCAGAACCGGGGGTGGCAGTGCCCTGTGTGATGCCTACATGACAATATCATAGCTCTCGTCGGCCAGCCCGGCGTCACCCAGCTTCTCCATGTAGCCCTGGAGGAACTCCACGTTTGGCTTTTGGTAGCCAAACTTGTCCATGTGGTAGGGAATGTGCTTCTTCGCCACCTCGACCTGGGAGGAGGAAGGGAACAACGGTGGGGGGATGCTGGAGGGACAAAGGGAAGCCCCGTCTCCGCACCATACCTGGCCCTCAGTCATGTCTATCCCAGTGACGTGGCCCTGCTCCCCAACCAGCTGGCTCAGCAGGTAGCAGTCTCTGCCGCTGCCGCTGCCCAGGTCCAGGATCCGGCGTGACGTCAGGCACTCGGGGATCACCAGACCGCAGCCGTAGTACCTGGGGGGATGCTGAGCTGAGCCAGGCGGAGGTGTCCCCACGGTGTGGTGGTCTGGGGGGCTGCAGCCCACGGGGATGCAGCAGCGGAGGTGAGACCCCGGGGTTTACCTGGCCACCACCTCCTCATGGACACGCTCCAAAGCATCTCTCACCGCCTTGGGAAGGGGCCTGGCCGAGGCAACGCATGCATTGGTTTTCAGGTCCTCCAACTTCTGCAGCTCTTTGCCATAGTAATCCTGAGATGGGAAGGACAGAGGCGACCAAACTACAGCAAGCTGTGCCCCAGGAGCTCCCCAGGCACCAAGCGCGGGGGCCATGCCTGCGCTTGGCTTATATGTGCCCCCGGTGTCCTCCGGCACTGGCGCTGTTGTTTGCACCCAGCTAAAAATTAGGCTAACATCAAGCATCCCTTTGCCCCCATCCTCCCCAGCTCCCCTCGCTTGCATGCACAGACGTGTTTGTTCAGTAGGGGATTTAATTCCCGTTTGCAGTAACTTTGCAGGCTGCAGCCACCTTTTCCCCGGCTGAGAGGGGCACGGGGAACAAGGGCAGGGAAACACGGGGTTGCTCAGCTCCGCCATCCCTGTGGGAAATGGGAGCAAACCAGCCGATCGCACCTA